AATAATTTTCTGTGAATGGTGATAATGAATTAAGAAAAATAGCATTTAGAAGTACTCACAGTAAATCTGAACATATAAATTTCATTAAGAAAATGATCAGGCTGTGCTGATATTATACACAAAACCAACGTATATGTATGAGAAAGTCTATTCTACAAAAGAAGGGCAAAACGTATTTTGTATTAGCCCAGATTAATTTACTTATATATAAAATCCAGCAAATCTGATTATTTCTTTGTTAGAGAAGTTTTCCAATTTTAAACATTCTATATTGTTTTACTTGTTTATAATATGTAGTCAGTATTACACATACATATATACACTCATATACATTAATGCATTGCTCAACAGGGATACATTCTGATAAGTGTGTTATGAGACGATTTTGTCATTGTGAGAGCATCAAAGAGTGTAGTTACACAAATATAGATGGTATAGTTTACTATAAATCTGTATAGCATGTTACTTTACTGAATACTGTAGGCAATTGTAACATAATGGTAAGTATTTGTGTATCTAAACACAGAAAAAGTACAGTAAGAGTATGGTATTATAATCGTCTGGGTCTAGAGTTGTACATGCAGTTGTCAGTGACTGAAATGTCATTATGCACGGCCTACGTCACTAGATATGGACATATATGAACATGTATTTCTATATTTGTGCCTGTAGCATTATTTATTTGTTTCTATGAAATTTATACCACTATAGAAATGCCAGAAAATTAAGCTATCCCAGGAGAAAATTACTGAGGTTAATCTTTAGGAATATTGTTTTTGTAACAATTACAAAATACACTTACGATCAATGATTGTCCTTCATTCCCAAGAAATCTGTCTCTAAGTGTAAAGTTTTTAAATAAAATATTTTGTTAAGTGTAACAGAATAAATTATGATATATTTCATCTGATGCCAATATAACCAAATAGTTTTAACTGATAGAAAAAAATATAAAAAATAAATATTAGACAAATTTCATATGTATTAATAATAATAATGCAAAAGTAAATGTACTGTGTATATAAATGCAATGTAATGAAATTTTACTATCTTTGCAAAAGGCAAAACTGCTTTATAGTGAAAGATTTGTGGTGGAGGAGTTGTGAAAAATAGTTAGTCTTTTGAAAAGTCTTGCTGGATCATTTTTTTCTACTATTGTTACCTCCTATGGGCTCGTACTTATCCTGTACTAAACCTGAACTTAACATTTTTAGGGCAAAACAAATATTTAACGAAAGAGTGCCTCAAAACAACAAGAGTAGAGTTCATGTGAAATAAACTGAAGTACTTTGTCTTCATTCTTTTACTTGGCAAATACACACAATTCAAATTTATTCCATACGATTTATCTTTCTAGAAAATGTGACTTCACATAAATTGATGAATGCTTTTTTTGCCTGAAACCATGATGTCAAAATAATACTTATCATGGCCTAGTCACGTAGTGTGCTTTTGGGGTAAATACCATTATACTGGAGGAAAAATTTCTCTTATCTGAAAAATGGTGTATGTTTTCAAAAGCTATTAATGTAAACTTTCATTAATTAAAGAGTTATTATGTGAGGTAACCTGTAAAGTAAAAAATACTCCACAAATTAAAAAACAGGAGTAGAAATTAATGCCACCAAATAAGATAGAGCAATAACTAAACTCTTTCAAGTGAAAAGCACATATAATAAGAGAATTATTGTAACATTGCCACATTTTATGATAATACTACAGATTCAAACATACTTTAAAACCTTAGTTTAAACTTTAGAATAAGCTTCTGAGATCAACGGATCTTTCTTACTAGTCTTATCTCTTTTCCTTCTCCTTGTTTACTTTGCTCATTTCACTTCCTATAAAGAACCATTCTCTATTCAGAGTAACCTTTATACACATTACTACCTCTGTCTGGAAAGCTACCCTCTCCATATTTACTACGAAGTCGAAGTACCTCAGGGAAGTCTTTCTTCCTCTCCTACCGGATGAGATGTGTTCTTAACATGTAAGACTACTATAAATATTTCACAACAATTAAATAATTACTATGTTATAATTTGTGTCTTGACTATTATGCTGTGATCTTCCAGGAGGACAAGAACTAAGTCTCTAAGTCTCTGTTGTTCATTGCTGGCTGATGAATTGTATTAAGCAAGGTTAAAACTACACTTTTTTTTTTTTTTAGATAAGGTCTCACTGTGTTGCTCAGGCTAGAGTACAGTGGCACAATCATAGCTCACTACAGCCTTGAACTTCTGGGCTTAAGCAATCTTCTTACCTGTGCCCCTAGAGTAGCTGAGACTACAGCCCTGCATCACCACCATGCTCAGCCAATTTTTAAAATCTTTTGTAGAGACCGGGTCTTACTATGTTGCCCAGGCTAGTCTGGAACTCCTGGCCTCCATCCAGCTTCCTGCCTTGGCCTCCCCCAAAATATGCTTTTTAATGACTGTCCAGTTCACATTATATTTTCTGATAACATTCTATAAAAAACTATTTAATAAAAGTAATTTATTAGCATTTTAAAGAGCTATATCAGAAAATCATGAAAAGATTTCTTCAGGAAAATAATTTCCATGTTATAAAATTAAGTATTTTTTTGTGTGAATATGTGTATTATTATGCATATATATAAGTGTAATTGCACATGTGTGTTTGAATGTGTGTATATATATATATTTATATATAGTCTATTGGTATGAAATGGATGGTAATTTTCTGCTATACAGAAAAAAAAATCACTTAAAACTCATACTGTGTTCTATCCCCTAATAGTGTCTGAAGGTTCACTTTAATGTGATTCTGATTAGAGATGGTCATCTTTATTGATTTTCAAAGAAAAAGGGAGGAAAAATAAGTCAAGTTGATGTGCAGTTTTGACATTTTTAAGGAAAAAATACCTTGTGCTTGAGGTATGTCTGTAACATTATGCAAATATCCCAAAGTAATCAAATCTTCCTCATAATGTTCAACTTAGCTGAAGTTTCATTCAGTGGGTTTCAGATAAGTTGATGTGTTTACTGGATTTTCCTCTTAGTCTTTCTGAGAATTCTTAGGAATGCTTGCAAGAGACCCAAAGATACGCCAGGTGGTGGTGTTCTGCAGACCACTGGCCAAATTTTTCTATTGGCCCATCCCGATTTGCTAAGGACCATTTCAGGTTGCTGTTATCTTCTCATATCCTTTTGCTTCCCCCTTAATTCCTCTCCTATATGTGATAAAATGAAGTGAAGATCTAAGAGTAATATAAGAGGATTAAATGAAGAACTATAAAAGGCTAAAGGAGATTAGATACTCGAGCTCCCTAGAATCCATATGTCTTATCTTCTCAGAGACCCCTACATACTGGCCCATTTTGTACTCAATCCTTCAATGTTTTGGTGTTTTAGAATCCATATGTCTTTTTAGGCAAAAGGCTGCCCTGCTCAAAATTCCTTGCCCTTAAAATCTAGAGTAATTTAGTGAAGAAGAAGAAGAAAAAAAAGAATTTAATCTCTTCAGGGGTTAAATGTTGGCTTATTATTGTTATTATTTGTTTTGTACTTAGGATGATTGGCCATATGGCCATGCATTTGCTTTAGGGGAAGAATCTCATGGCACTATATCCAGACCCTGGAGACAAAAGCAAGAGGACCATAAGAGTGAACCAAATGCATCTCAAAATTTGTGTGATTCCATCTTAAACTACCTAGCGTATAGCATGCACTCAGGACTAATTCAAATTCCTAATTCAGAAAGCAAAAAACTAACTTTTTAAAGGGAACAGTCTGATTAGAAACACCCCAAATGTGTTAGTAATTAGAAAACAATATTTAGTCTAAAGTGTTTTATCACTTTACTAGCTTAGTGTTTCATTGCTCTCAAAATAATGAAGAGGTACTTGTAAGACAAAAAAGTGCTCACTAAAGTAGCAACTCCCAGAATGATGAATCTGTCTGTTTTAGTGACAAATTCTAGACTCGACTCTACAAGCAAAACTTCTTTACAAGCTCTAACGTGTCAATTTCTAGTCTCCAACAATTTTAAGTTCTTGACTACATCCAGAGCAACAGGAAGAATCTGCTGGTCACTCTGAAATAGCATTTTGTTTTTGCTACACAAAGAATATTCAAGCTCATTATTCATGCTTGTTATTTTGCCTTAGTGGTTGCAAAAAGAAATATTAATTTCTTGAGGTGTCTTGGCTTGAGTTGGAAGACAGAGGGGAACACACTGAAGATCCCTCAAGACAATGCAAGCTTGTGTATAAGAAGGGACTTGCCTTAAGCTATGCACAGGCAAAGAAAGGAAAAAAGGGACATAGAAAGGAAGTGGTGGGGAAACAATTTTCAGACAATTCCCCACCCTAGTCTGGTGATCCAATGACAAATGAGACTGTCTGAAGCAACTCTGACTGAAGAGCAGCATCAAAGTCTCTCTGTCTCTCTTTTTCTTTGCCAAGGGAGGATGTTCGTATTTGCTATTTTGTAAAGCAATGTTTCATGCCAGTGTCCTTTGTTCTTGCCTATAAATTGAGTCCCAGAATTTCCTTTTTGCTATCTTGCAAGTGTAAAGTGGGTGTGATTGGGGATAATATCCCCCATTGGCAGTCCACACTCCACACTCATGACTCTTCCCTTAGTCAGACGTGCTGTGAACTGAATCATTGAAGGAAGGTTGATAAAGCAGGAATGTTTTGAAATGAATTTTCTATACACTTCTGTAAACTGCCTAAAGATGATGATTATCATCTGAGAATAGGAAGCATACACTGCGTGGAGGAGGGGAGAAAAAGTGGACAGGTAGTCCAAGAGAAAAATTATCTGCATCATTAAGAACCAACTGTCAAAGCAGAGAAACCAGAATCCAGGGAGTGTGTGGGGTGGATCCACAGGTTGATGAACAGAAGAGCCACCCACTTCTCAATCCCCCTCCCACTCCACACCTACTCCCCAGAGAGTGAGTGAAAGCTGGAAATAAAGCTTCTGTTTGTCACTCCTGACATCACAATTACACTTAACTAAACAAAGGCCTGGCAAAGGCAGTTTTAACCCTAAACCTCAGAGTCAGAAGGGCACCTGTTTTAGATTCAACAAAGCAGCCCCAAATGCCTGGAAGGCATGGTATCTTTGTGGTCCCCCTTGCCAGGCAAGTACAAACCCTTGTGAGCTACAAACCCTTGTGAACTACAAACCTCTGGCTATGAGTTCTTTCTTCTATGTTTCCTTGGGATGAAACTGTCAACTATGGAGAAAAAGTAAGGAACCTTGTGTTGGACTTTGAAATTCAACATAATACCTAAATAGTAAAGAAAAAAGAATGCTCTACTCCCTCTCACAAACACAGTTGCATGTACCCTTGTCCTTGCTAATTGACTGAGGAATGAAGTATAAGATAGTAACTACAGATTTAAAAGGAAAATAAATTTCATACACTATTCTCCAAAAGTAAATGTTAAGATTTCTGAAATTTACAAACATGTATACTATGTGTATATTTATGGCTCTTAAACTACTTGAATTTATCTTAGCAGTAAAATATCCCCCAATAAAATATTCCTCTCCTTCTTGAAAACATGACCCACACAATGCTAAGTGAAATATTTGTTACAAATACCTTTCCAGTAGTTTAAACACTCCAAATGCAAAATAAATTGCAAGGAAAGAATAATATTTTTGAATATAGTTTTATGTGAATGAATTGTTTATGCAAACATAGATTTAATAATCTGAATCCAAATAACAAAAATCATTCCAAAATATTTTACCACCATATCCGGTTTTTACTAACCTTTATACCCCTCAGAAAGTTACTTTATTTTGATGCTTTTCTATTGGCAACAGTAAAATCTCAAGGGACTTAGAAAAGGTGATGGAGGGGGAGTATTCTCAATCTTATATCATTGCAGTATTCACTTTAAAGCAATGTAGTCCTTTTCTGTTTCTGCCCCAACATTTCATAATTATATCATTTTACAAGAATTGTGTAATTTACATAACCACCTAAATTGTCATAATTGCTAGAAAGTGCTGAAAAAGCATACGGTAGGCATTTCAGATTCATTTCTGCTCTCTGTTTGAAACTCATTTTAAATGCCTTTTGCATAAAAATTCTTTTGGTCAACAAAAAAGTAACTTGTATTTAATTTTGCAGGAACCTTCTCTTCTTCTCCTTCTCACACTGACTTCTCTTCTTTCAGGAAGACTTTCTCAGATATTATACCTGAGTACTAACAGGGTCACATGGTAAACAAACTCCTTCCTCTTGATCTTACAGAAGAAGCTGAGACCACAGAGGTTAGCTGACTTGATCTGAATACCACAGGTCACATCTGCGGAGCCAAGTCTAGAAATCACTTTTATTTCACTTGCATGTTTTGTTCATTGTCCCACACTGTTCTACACTGCATTTAGAAAAAGGAAGAGGAAAAATACAAGAATGGAATGGTCTCTCTACAGTTTTCTCAGCATGCCATTTCTATTATAATTATCTTAACCATCTGTTTTGCTTGGAACAGGCGAAAGAATTTGATATTAAGAAACAAAACTCATTCTATACAACAGAGAAGGGCTTCAGAAATGGGACCTTATTTCAGAATACAAGAGTGGATATCAATTTTATCAGAGGTTTCATCAGTGAAGTAGAACGCCAGTATTTGACCATTACTGTTTTGAAAATCAGTGACTCATGTAGTTTTGTAAATAAAAATGTGCAACTCAAAGTTATTGCAGCATATTGTTTATAATATTTGCTATGAGTGTAACGTGGAAACCTGAAGTAAAGCACCATTAAACAGTTAAGGGTATTGGAAAATGGCAACTTTTCCCAATACCCTTAATTGTTTTTCTTTCTTGAATTCTGTTTCAGCTTCTCCTCTAAAAAGCTAATCCATCCTTGCATACTTAAAAGACAATGTATTAATGTTCAGCTCCTTGAAACTAATTTAGCTGTTATGTGAAGCTATAAAACTTAGTGGCAACATATGTGATAGGCGTAAATAACAGACCACATTTCTGGAATGCTTACCTAGTGCACGTGTGCACATATATGGACACACACACTGCACAAACCACACACATGGATGCACAAAACATACATGCAGAAGCATAAAAACAATTTATGCTTCAGAGTTTTGAAATAAATAAGAAATAAGCTGTTTCACTTATTTTACTTTTCTGTCAAAAATCACTGTAAAATATGTATTTTACTGCAAATTAAGAAAAAAATTGAGAGTGATGTACCTGTCTTGCAGTTATAGGCTTTTCAAATTAAAGATAGTATTTGAAAGAACCAATAATACTTCAAAATCATTATTTAAAAAATTATTACAAATTAACCAAGCTTCAGAACAGGTAAACTCCCAACATGGAAGGCAGCTTATCACTTTTGAAATAAGCATGGAAGGCAGAACAATTTTCATAGAAAAATGGGGAGTATTCATTCCAATTAATTAAAAAAACAAACTATTATTTTGGCCAAAAAAGGAAAATTAATAGCAAAGGTAGGATGAACCAGAGACCCTTTCAATATTGTCTTCTAGAACATAAAGTTATTATAATACACTAAAGAAGAAAAAAAAATGGAAACAACATATACATTGATAAAAGAACAATTTTTTTCTGTTCAATAAGAGTCAAATTTTTTACAGCTGATAGATGTACTATAGTTCTGTAATTTTCCTGAAATAATTTTAGAAATGCTGGGAAATCTCAGCTAAAGGAAACAAAATAAAGTTCATAAAATTTTCTAAAAATCAAAGCCATGAAATTTTTTCCCACTGTGAAATAAATATATTAGAAACAAGTAATTCAATTCCAACTTTCTCTTTCCTGTGATAGTTAAAAAACTTAACCGGCCGGGTGTGGTGGCTCAAGCCTGTAATCCCAGCACTTTGCCGAGGCAGGTGGATCACAAGGTCAGGAGATTGAGACCATCCTGGCTAACACGGTGAAACTCCGTCTCTACTAAAAAATACCAAAAACTAGCCGGGCGAGGTGGCGGGCGCCTGTAGTCCCAGCTACTCGGGAGGCTGAGCCGGGAGAATGGCGTAAACCCGGGAGGCGGAGCTTGCAGTGAGCTGAGATCTGGCCACTGCACTCCAGCCTGGACGACAGAGCTAGACTCCGTCTCAAAAAAAAAAAAAAAAAAAATACAAAAAATTAGCCGAGCGTGGTGGCGGACTCCTGTAGGCCGAGCTACTCGGGAGGCTGAGGCAGGAGAATGGCGTGAACCCAGGAGGAGAAACTTTCAGTGAGCCGAGATCATGCCACTGCACTCCAGCCTGGGCCACAGGGTGAGACTCTGTCTCAAAAACAAACAAACAAACAAAAAAAACCCAGAACTTATAAACCAATAACTTAACACATGAAAGCCAGTTCAATTCTTACACCAGCACACATCTAACAAAAATTGAAAATAAATAGAAAAATATGTAGTGAAAACAGTCGTGTAGACCCCTAAACATTTTCAGAGTTTAACATTAAGCACTTTTTTTTTTTTTTTTTTCTCATGGTCACTTTTCTTTTTTCCTTTCCTTAGTTGTAATGTGATGTTTATCCTCCACTTCTTAATTTCTTGGCAATGTGGTAGAGCATCAATAAACCAATCTGGCATATTAACCCTAGTAATCAGTTTGGAATGTGGATAAACTTCTTTTTGCTATTGCTTAAATTTGTGCACTTCTTGTAAATGAGGTTCATTTTATAAACCACAGGTAAAGTTCCATAGTCCAACATTACACTTGCCCAGCATATTTCTACGTGAATCATTTGTGATATGCTATTACTTTGTTTAAAATATATATACCCATATATATAAGTATTTATATGCATATATATTATTTATGTATAAATGTGAAGGTGAAATGGACTCCTTCACTGAAACAAGAAACATGGGCTATAAATGGTATGCTCAGTGTATTCATGTTTCATTCTGCCCTTCCTCCATTCCTCCCTTTCTCCCTCTTTCCTTCCTTCTTTCCATTATTTTTGACTTCCTTCTTGTTTGTGTATTGTCCTTTATTCCTTCAAGAGGCAGGCTGTGAAAGTGCTAATATATGAGAAATTTATTCTTTAATGTAGTGTATTCAATCCACTAACATGCCTGCCTAGCCACCAAATAGGCATTAAATGTGAGAACACAGTCATGAGTAAGTATAGATAATATATATTTTATTTATAATATTTTACAGTTACTCAAGGTAGTTTTTAAAATGCCATTTGAATTTTCATTCATATATAATTCATGCTTTTGTTTGGAATATTAATCAGAAACAGGCCTGAGAACAACAAAATAGTTTATATGGTGGAATCAATAATATGATTACCTAAGATATGAAACAAGATGTTAAATGCATTGTTATCTTGGCACCTAAAAATAGATCATCTTTTTAAATTTGCCTGTTTACGATAACATAAAAAACAAGATAGTTGTTTTTTATTTTTCTTGATAATCTTTGTAGTGTTTAAGGAATGTTAATCATTCATTCATTCAATAGTAATGTAAACACAAAAAGTAATCAAGAATCTTGTCCCTAGTCGAGGTGATAATTATTAAAGGCCATTTATATTACTACTATTTTTGTATTAACACATTTTGAGTATGTCTATTAAATTGGTGTTTCCTATATATACAACCATATGACAAATATCTCTCAGGGATTGGTGAAAGAAAAATTTCTCTGAAACTCATAACCTTTTATCAGAAATAAGAATTAATGAAAATTATTTGATATGGTTTGGCTCTGTGTCACCACCGAAATTTCATGTCGAATTGTAATTCCCATGTATTGAGGGAAGGACCTGGTGGAAGGTGATTGGATCATGGGGCAGATTTCCCCCACGCTTTCTCACGATAGTGAGTTTTCAGAAGATCTGACGGTTTAATAGTGTTTGACAGTTTCCCCCTTCGTTCTCTCTCTTTCGTGCTCTGGCATGTGAAGACTGTGCCTTGCTTCCTCTTCTGCCATAACTATAAGTTTCCTGAGGCCTCCCCAGCCACGTGGATTGGTGAGTCAATTAAATTTCCTTTTCTTTATAAATTATGCAGCCTTGGGTAGTTCTTTACAGCAGTGCAAAAACAGACTAATACTTTTGATTTTTTACTTAATTTCCAGGAATTTCCAGGCTACATTTTTGGCTTAACAAGAATAACTTTTCTTAGAGTACATTTTCTGATTTAATAAAAATCAAACTTAGCAATGATCATAGCAAATTATTCTCAAAATGGTACAGGACGGAGGAGTAAAGTTGTTGTCTTCTGCAGAGAGAAAGGAGGTGGAAGTGAAGTTGAATCTAGGCAGGGTAGTTACAGGCAATTCTCTCTGGGTGGTTGAATGGCTGAATGGTTACAAATAGTTGAATTTCATATTATATCTATGTGTACTTAGTAATTAATTTTTAGATGCTTATTGAAATACCATGAATACAAACTAAGAATGTTAGCATGCTTTATATTGGGTCTTGCATATTTAAAAATAATTTTGTATGTGTTGTTTTTACTAGGTCAAAAAAAAAGATCGAGACATCTAAAACGATGATTATGTTACAGTGAAGAAGGACTTTGTTTTGTCAGCAATAGAGCATTTTCCAAGGGAGATAGATGAATGCCCACTCCCAGTGCCTAACTTTGTAACTGCTTTTGCTGTTTGTTTCCTCTCATTCATTTTGCATTCCTGTTAGGCTTGCATCTGTTTATGTTACTTGTCTATTATTCATCTACAGGATAACTGCTCAGCAGTCGTTACTTCCTTTCATATCTTTTCTGCATCTTTTGTTTCCATGGGTTGTTCTGGCAATAAAACCAAGAAAAGGGTACAAAGCTTATAAAAAAGTGCAGTTGGAACATCATGTTTTTACAGCTCTAAGAACGTTATTGCTGATTTCAAAAAGTTTTTTTTAAATGTTAAAATGTATTCAGCAAAGTTTAAAGCTCATAGGTATGATAAGTTTGAGAATTTGAGAAAATGAAATTTAAAAAGTGTTTCCAAAACAGCTCACTACTGTTTGATCTTCACATGGCAGGCTGCCTTGTGCAATTTTCTGTTTACTGTACATTTTAATACCTAAGTTTCAAGCAATGAAGTCATAGTAATTCCTTACATTTATATAGCACTTCATAATTTTATTGTGTGATTACTCATTCATTATGTCCTCTAATCTTTCTAGGTAGATAATTAGCATCTTCATTTTAAGGATAGGGAAAAAAAGGGTAGTCACTTTGTTAAATGATATGCTAAGGTCAAAAGGTCAATGAATCTCTGAGCCTGGAATCTACATTAACTTGATAGCCTAGCCTGGTATGGGTCAGAAAAATCTTCACAATATACAGTTGCTCCAGACTTCCTATAAGCCTAAGTGGTAAGATAAGGTTTGGGGATTTTAGATTATGTTAGCATAGTCTTATGTGTGATTTTAAATCATTATTGTGTACCTAAACTTATTAAGACTCTATTATCAGGGGATTGAAGTTTAGTTGGGAAAGAGGACTAACATGTGTCTATTTTACCACATTACCTTCATAAATGCTTAAAGGAATATACTTTAGGTCTTATTTTTGCCAAGAAGATAAAATTAAAAATAATTTGATCCTGCTACCTTACCAGCCACTGCATATACATTTTGTTTAGAAAATAATGGAAAGAAAACTGTGGCAAAGTGGAGAAGGTAACACCATGGAGGCACACATATGTTCTGTATCTTCCCTTATCAACAATTACATGTTACCAATATATACACACCCAATAAGTGGAAAACTTTTCTGCCAAAGAGATTTCACTTTTTTCTCTCTCTGTTAAATAATTGCTACATTCTACATCCCACGCTTGTAAAAGAACAACCCAGTAATCCCCCAAAGTCTAGGTTCCATGTAAAATACATTTTGTATGATCATTATGTAATATTTGTGAAAAATCGGAGAATTTTAACAAAGCATTTGATTTGCACCCAAAACAACCAAGAAGTGTCAATGTTTCAATAATTGCATAATTCTTTTTAAAGTTATCATCTTTGGAGTGCTAAAGCTATCATTAAGTGATAAATAGCAACATAATTTTATTTTGGCCTGTGCCATCCTGGACTCTCCTAAGAAACCTCAGTTCATACTTCCAGATCATTATCAGAGCTATCCCTGTCATCATGGTGTAAGATGACTCCTAAGGAAAAATGAACTACGTCTCTCTATCTCCTAAATCAAAAATGTCAGAAAGGGCTCCCTTACCTTTTCTTCCCTCCCCAAGAGAAAGACCTTTGGTGAAAACACTTAGTTTCTGCCATTTGGCTTATAATGTTATAATTATATTTACTTTATATATTTACTTTATACATTAATTATATATTTACTTTATACATTAATTATATTTACTTATAATGGCGAGAAGCTACCTTTCTTTTTTTTTTTTTTTTTTTTTTTTTTTTGAGGGCCCAGAGAGCAAGTTTATTTGGTGAATGCTGACGGCAAACATCATCCAAGAGACAAGATGGGAAAGGTGCTGAGACGAGAGCCTAGGGAAACTTCAGGCTAGATACAAAATTCACACAGGGAAAGGCACGGAGTCGGGAGACTGGGAGGGTCCTCAGCCATTCAGCACCATGCGGACGAGCTCCGCCCCATGGGCCCGTCACCCCGACAGGATATGCCTCACAAACGCTTCATAGTTGATACAACCATTGCTGTCCTCGTGCCCTGCCACCAGCATCTCTACTTCTTCCTCTGTCATCTTCTCACCCAGTGTGACAAGAACATGCCGGATTTCAGCACCCATGACAGTGCCATTTCCTTCCTTGTCAAACACCCGAAGTCCTTCGACATAATCCTCATAGGTGCCCTGGTCCTTGTTCTTGGCCACTGTCTGCAGCATGGGCAGAAAGTGCTCAAAGTCCAGCACCTTCACGTTCATCTCATCACTCTTGGGTTTCCCCAGGACCTTGAGCACCTCGGCGTTGGTAGGGTTCTGGCCCAGGGCCCTCATCACGTCCCCACACTGGCTGTACAGGATCTTGCCATCACCTGTTCGGTCAAACAGCTGGAAGGCCTCCTTGAACTCTGCGGTCTGGTCTTCGGTGAAGTCACACATCCTGACTGCTCAGCTCTGCGGGACCTTTTCCTGCAGTAATGGCCGAGAAGCTACCTTTCTACTCTGACATCTTGCTCTCTGTTGCTGTCTTTCAGTTGCTGAGTAATTAACTCTTAATAAGCTGAGTGACAGTAAATGGTTACAGTTTAGGAGGATTAATAAAAGTTGCTACTAAAATATATATATTTAATAAGCACAGAGGTATCTGAAAATTTTTATGTATTCTCCTTACTGAATTTGTAGAATCTGTTTAGGTAATCACTAACCCTTTAGATAGGGTCTCTCCAAGTTTCCTTCAACAGATATGGCTTTAATATCAAGTCAGCTCTGCCCTTTTGTTGACTCTCAGTCATAAATGCCAAGTAGAGGTTGGGAACTCAAGCATCATCAAGAAATGATCTGAAAGTGACTTAAATTGTGTTCTGGCCCAGATTAAGCCTTTCAGAGCAACTATAAATGTACAGCGCTTTCATCTAACCTAGCCCCATGGGCATTTAATGAAAGTAAGTGCTCATTACTGTTACTGTTATGAATTATAAAATTAATAATTTGTATACAATACATAAGACAAAATCACAATAGAAAAAACAACCAACAGCCTAATTTACATTTAGTAGTCCAAACATACAATTTCTCCTACCTAAAATTTTTACTTTGGCATTTTCTTTCATGGCTATCTGTAATTCTATAAAGGTCAGCAAAATACTGAGCTATTTTGGCCATGCAAAGAAGGGTTAAACATAAATCCTAATGTATTACAATTAAATATATAAATGCTATGTTCCTAAACCTAAGTCATACAGCTTAATATAAAAAACGACATGTAAGTAATAACCTATAGAATACATACATCAGGAAATTGTCCTTAAGAAATAAGCTGACTTTAAGTAGCTTATAAATACTAAATAAAAATATATTGCAAATGAAAAGCTTTTTAAAGTTGAATTGGAATTTTTTTTTTATAACTGATTTGATTTTACCTGAAAGTAGGAAAGCAAAGTAAAATGAACAAGTAAAATTTATTTCGCTAAACCCCAGGGAGTTTATAAATATGTCATGAGAACATTTATGTAGACAAAATAACAGAAAAGGAGCACATTAGAGATACAATATGCAAAGTATGGGAGAAAATATTAAGAAAAACAGTTTTACTAACATTATACCATGACTGAAAATTAATGATTAAATAATTAAGAAAATATCTCACAAATTATTTTTAGAAGCAGAGACAATTAATTGGGATAACAAGACAAATAGCATCAACATATACACACGCAGACGTGTATATATATATACACAAAAGTGACCTAATTTATATATTTCAACATACTTATATTGAAAAGCCAATATGGAGCAAATCAACTTTATTTAATTTATAATTATTAGGCAGATGATGCCTGAAGAATGCAGAAACCTTAGCCATTTTCATTTGATTATTTCAGTCCCTGACCTGCCTACAGGCTGACATAATTCTCCTTCACAGAGACCAGTCTCCAGTGGTTGCCAATCTTGATCTTCCAGGGTAGAATGAGTTCTCTTTGAATTACTGGAGCAGGGCGTATGCGAGGATGGATAAATCAACCAAACCGAAAGGCCTTGCAGGGCAAAGAAGCAGTAGGGCACCTGTCCTTACATTGTCCTGAAAGTGACCTCCTGTGTGACTTTCTGCGAGGTAAGAGGTAATTCTGCCTCTACTTTAGCTTAGCTTATATCAGTCACAGTAAAGGTCACAAATCCTGACAGCTTTCTGTGCTTGAGACTCCGATTACTGTGTATCTGAGAAGGAGCAGAGAGCTGTGAGACCTGCTTCTCTTAGGAATCTAGGTCAGAATTCATTCAGTAATGCCACCCAGGCCCTTCAAAGCAATATCTTACATTGTAGAAATACTTTGAGCAAATCCTGATGGTTGTTCATAAATTATATTACAACCTGAAGGGAGAAAAAGTTATTCTGTCCCTTTTTTGACTCCAGCTTCTCATAAGATAAGTCATAAAATTTAATTGGTGTCCTCAGAGCAAGGTCATAGTTCTTAAATTCACCTCTACCCTTCATAACCTCCAAGTCAATAATAATAACTGAAGATGATGTTAGTGCTACTAAATTTGATAGAAGTGTCGGCAGCAGTTAATGTACAAGAAACCCATCCAAATATATGAAGGCTGTTTTTTTCTTTTAAGAATGTGAAGCTTTCTGAGTGTCTCTGAAATACTGCAAATGTTTGGAATTTGGACTTTATGTAAATAGGAAGCATATGCACATTTGTTAACAGAGGTGACAGTATGAAGATTGGAGATTGGAAAAGGGTAAAATAGAGGGAAAGAATAATATTTTAAGAAAGGAAGTTCATACATTAAATGTAAATAAATGGAAAAGTCTATGAGGAAATGCTGTAAGCCTATTTTTAGGTAATTTACCTTTCCAAGACAAAAAGAGAGGTAGGAAAAGAAAAAAAAATATATAAAAAGGGGAGACTGAAGTGAAAACTTGCTTCTTGCTTTGAGGTTGTATAAATGTTGCCAAAACTATGCCCAATGCCTACTCTAGTGTGGGAAACAGAGTTCCCACTCAAAGAATTGTACAGTGGTGACTCTGGAATCTAGAAGCCTGTCGCTAGTGTGAATGGAACTGAACTAATTTCCTTCAAGGGAAAGGCCTAAGACAGTGAATAAGTGATAGAAACTTGTGGTGAGAATCAAGCAATGCAGAGACATTAAAAAATTCTTAGAACCATATGGATGCTAACATATTCGATTTTAATAATGAATAACTAATTCAAATATCCTGATTCTTTTTAAAAATCAAAGTCATGAATTGCATCCACTTAAGACACTATTAGAAATATAGGAGCTATAGTTTTATACCTTGGCGTGGCATTTCGTTTTCCAAAGCAAATATTTGAGACTGTCTCTTTTTAAATGTTTCATTCAGGGATAAAATATGACGTTTGGATTATCTCCTTAACATATTGCATCAAATAGATAAAAATATCTCCTCTTAATATTACCTCTATTCTCTCAATAAGACTGATGATAACTCAATCTTCTTTGACTGTAGCCTCTCTTTCCAATTCATCTACAATATTGTCAGATCTTGCTTCAAAATGACCCTGACTTTGTCTTTTCTATTTCTACAGCCATTGTCATAACTTGAAACTAAACTGGGATTCATGATAACTGATTGATTGTACCATCTTTGCTATTTGATATTGGTCAAATCACCTAACTTGATTAAAATGGAGTGGAAGACCTCTAAATCTAAATCTAAATTTCTCTTATTCAGATTTTCCTTCTATAAAATAAAGTGTTATTAGAGATTCTGAGAGAGAGAGACAGAGAGAGAGAGAGAGAGACAGAGAGAGAGAGAGAGAGAGAGAGAGAGAGATTAATTTACTTTCCAGGTGCTTATTATCACATAAGGGGAGGAAGTCGGCTTCTGACAGAGTGATTGGAGAAGACATAAAAAGGATATAGAACGTGGAGTAGGCCTTGAATAATGTGCAGAATTTTAACAAGTCAGAGGAAAGGGCAGTAAGATTAAGCCACCGTTGCTCTTGTCAAACGTTTTCTCAAAATTTATTCTTTCATAAGAGCCTTTAGCACAATGACACTGTTATAGACTGAATGCTTGTGTCTTTCCCAAATTCATCTGTTAAACCTAATCCTCAACGTGATATTAGAAGAGGGTGCTGGCCAGGTGTGGTGGCTCATGCCTGTAATCCCAACACCTTGGGAGGCTGAGGTGGGCGGATCACAAGGTCAGGAGAGCGAGACCATCCCGGCTAACACGGTGAAACCACGTCTCTACTAAAACTACAAAAAAAAAAAAAAAAAAAAAAGAAAAAGAAAAAAGAAAATAGCAGGGCGTGGTGGCATGTGCCTGTAATCTCAGCTACTAGGGAGGCTGAGGCAGGGGAATCACTTGAACCCGGGAGGCGGAGGTTGCAGTGAGCCGAGATCGCGCCACTCCAATCAGCCTGGGTGACAGAGTGAAGGAAAAAAAAAAGGGGGTGCCTTTGGAAGTTGATTAGGTCCTGAGGGTAGAGCCCTCATGAGTGGGACTGGTCCCTTTCCAGAGAGTTTCATTGTCCCTCTCACATGTGAGGGCACAGAGAAAAGACAGCTCTCTTTTCTATGAAAAGTGGTCCCTCACTAGACACCAAATATTTGACAGTACCTTGATAATGGACTTTCTAGCTTCCAGAACTGTTAGAAGTAAATTTCTATTATCTGTAAGCCTCCAGTCTATAGTATTTTTGTTATAACAGCCCAAATAGACTAAGACAGTAATGAATTTCGGGCCACTGTTTTTACCCCATGACTCTCATTACTTCTGTTCTTCATATCACATATGAGGGAGAGTCACGTATGCAGTACTTTTTGAATGGCAGGAAAATTTAGATTCATCAAGATGTCATGAGTAAATCTCCCCAAATCTGAAATTAATTTCGCCTCCAGATTTCTGTATTTATATTAGGGAAATGTGCATATGTACACGTACACACACACAGACACACACAACACACACTGTGCTAGACTTTAAGAATAATAAGAGAAAAGACTACTGGCTAAAATAAATGTCCTACTGAAAAGTTTACTAAAAACCTATATTTAATTATGATTATTTAACAGTGATATCAGGTAAGGATGATGTACATTTGAATGTAATTGATTAAACAAAAATATAGAAAGCATTTTTAATTAAATATACCCTATCGGGAAAAATACTCAAAAACTAAAAGAATGCAGCTGAATAAGCCAGGTAAGCATCGGAAAAGAGAGATCACAGAGGTAGGTTCTGGCCAAGAGGTAAGGAACCTGTCTCCAAGCAGCCTCCAATATTCAAATATTGTGGGTTCCTTGGCAAGACTAATGGTATAATGAGTAAGAGTGCTTTAGGCTATTTTAATTAAGGGACAAGTTTATCAAAAAAAATTATAATAATTTTTTTCCTCCATTTAACATGATTTCGGCCACACGCAATGGCTGATGCCTGTAATCCTAGCACTTTGGGAGGCCGAGGTGAGTGGATCACCTGAGGTCAGGAGTTTGAGATCAGC